TCTGCTTCTTTCTTCCCACTTGCCGTTGGCGTTCATCGAAATACCATGCAAGTCATTTCTATTATCCAGGAACCATCTTTGCCTGACTCGGATCTGGGCGTAGGAGCGTACAAATAATACCATTCCTACATGGACAGCGATATACAGATCGATGGTCATAATGAGCCACGCTTGGTTAGGATTTGTTCTTCTGAAGATACTAGCATGGGCATTGGCCACCCAAATGTGGGTGAACCTGAGATATTCCTGAGATATTCAAAAGCCGGAAAAGCCTTCTACAAGTTGAACATTTCAAATTAAGTCGCGAAGCCAACTCCGTCAAAGTAACAGGACAGTCAAGGTTGACGCAAATCCAACCATGGCACTTTTTTGGTGCATTTCATCAGATCGGTCCAGTGTCTTATAAACAGGTGCTACAACATTCGAAACTCGTACCTCGTTTGTTGTCTGGGGTTCCGATCATGATTATCTGCCAAAGTCTGAGAAAAGGTTACTGCACAAATCGAGGGCAGCACATAATCTAAAGTTCAGCACCCGCCTCGGAGAGGCCTAATCCACGTCATTGATCATAATAATGACGTGGATTGGGCCCGAGGCGGGCGGCTGAAGGACCGGTGATTATCCCGATGGAGGTCGGATCCCGGGTCCCGACAAAAATTTTGGATTTGCCTGCCAAGGTCCGTGTCGAAGTCCCGACAAAAGCACCCGATGGCCGGAGAATGTGTGAGTCAAAGTCCCGACAATGTGGTTTCAGTCCCGACATCTGCCAAATCAGGTATGAGTGGGGCAGAGTGGCCTTGCCGACTTCCACTGGTGGCCGGAAAGGGTAACTTTTCAGGACAATGTAGATAATGAGGTCTGTACTCGCTGTGCCACCCAGATTACAAGTTGTTTTCTTTCCTCCTGGAATTTCCTGGTGTTGTTGCCAAAGGACGAGACGGTCAAAACGTTCTGCGACCACGTCGAAATTGGGTTTCGTGCTTACAGCTTATTCGGGGATCTTGAGGATGAAAAAGAGCCGCTCTCGAAGGCTGTTGCAAGCCTGAATACGGTGCGAAGGAAGGGGAAGGAACATTCACATCCTAGAGCTACGTGAGGACGACGGGGACGAGGATTGACACCATTAGATATTTTTAGCAATTTTTTGGCAATTTTAACGCTTTTTTGAGCAAAATTTGAGGTCTGTACCCAAGTCCCGACAAAACGAAAATTTGGCCGAGGTCAGCGCCAAAATCCCGACAAGATTTTGGGGAGCGCCCTGGCGAAAAGTCCCGACAAAATTTCTTGGAGGCCGAAATTTGGGATCCGACCTCCATCGGGATAATCACCGGTCCTGCGGCTGAACCTTTAGGAGGCTTGCCCAACTATTTTTTTGCCCGAAATATCCCACCCTGTCTCATCTCCGCGTGTCCTCTTTTGCATGTACTATCCAAAACCTTAGCAGCTCTCTCAAGAGCCTAGTCAAATTTTCATCCTCCGACGTTCTGAAGGCGATTCGCGCCATTCAGAAAGGTTGTAGGTGAATGAAATCATCTTGGACAAGATAATCAAGACCTCTGTATGGAGTTGTAATTCTGCCCATTTGCTACCACTGCCAACGGCAGACTCCGAGTAGCACACCTTGACCCCAAGTTGGCACCAAGGATCTCCCAGGTAGTTGTTGAATTAAAATTTGAGACATTCACAAGAAGTGTTACGGAGCCTGAGGTGCTCAATCCAATACTGAAAAATATATGGGAGACCTGGGCAGTGGGCAGTTGTACTTGGTTCAGTTCCCAACATGCGTTGAAACGCTCGCTGGAAATCACCGAGTCCGGGATGCCGAGCGGACTACTAAGGATCATTGACTAATTACGACGGACGACAAAGCAGGAATGACTGATGTAAAAAATCGAACTTGAACAATGCTCCGTCTGCTTGGCACAAAACGGACCTGTACCACTCCATTAAAAGGGAAGGAGGATCAATAAGCATACTGGTAACTTTTTGGATTTGTATTTGTATCGTCCCGCCCTCCTTGTAATATTTCTCTAAGTGATGACCAATTGGGATGATGAAATGCTGTGTTGGCCGAATCCCAAGTTCTCCAGGGTAGCTAAACCTAAAGGTTCAGCCAATAAGTCCTACTCTTCTTCAGAGACACACTGCTCTGAGTTCCAATACTAATGCACATCAATGCTGAGGCTTGAAAAAAGTGTTCCACTAAGTGGCTTCAAACTTGAAAAAAACCAACTTAGCAAGTGTTTCGAAAAATAGGAATCGAGTCCGAGTCCTCGTACCAAACACATGGATTTTGCGTGCGTGTATACCATACCTCCTACAAAATTATTCCCCCGTGTATACCGGCGGGGGTGTACGTGACCTCAGTGCAAGTGCCCGCGGTGCCTCCAATTGCGCTTCCAACTCACGCACGCGCGCCGTCACTTCTCTAAGTTGTGACCTCATATCGGAATCCAGCGCTGTAGAGTCTGTCGATGCGCTAAGTGCCGTAGAGATACTCAACCCCGGGGTGCGCCGCAGCGGAGGCAGCGGTTTCTCCAGATCGGTTGCGGTTTCCAAGCGCTGTGAGTGAGCAGTGCTGAGATTGGATGCATCAGGATTAGCATCCACAGTGGAGGCGGAGCTATCATGGTCCGGGGGGCTGTTGATGAAAGGGCTGGAACTCCGCGCAGCTTGTCGGCGTCGGCGTCGGCGACGCAGCCAGAGAACAAGCACGACAAGTGCAATGCCTAAGAAGACTCCGATAACGATTCCAATTATGGCGGCCTTGGGAAATGTATTTCTAGAGGCAGTATAGCTGTTAGTGCCGACATTTTTAGCAGCCATAGAAGATGCTTACCTGCTTGTGGAGAAGGGCTGTTGAGCGCCACTGCTCGTCGGAGCGATGTTCCCTTCGTTACTGGAGCTAGCGATATACGAGAGAGTGACTGCTGTATTCTGTGAATCCGCTGTACTCTGCGGCCCAGTTATATTTCGCGAGTGGGACGGAACGCTAGTAGCAGGGAGGGATGTCAAAGAGCGAGAGTTTCCTGTTGGAGGCACTATGCTTTGCGAGAGGTGCGGAGTTGTAATTTGCGAGGTAGGTGGACTGGTACTCGGGGCGGTTGTAAAAGTAGTTGAGGTCTGCTCTGTTATTGTAGTCGATGGTGGAAACGGATTCGGAAATTCGACGAAAGACGACGCTGCGTCCAAATCAAATATTGTGGGCTGTGTGCGTCTCAGCAACGATATTGGAGAAAGATATATGGAGAGACCGTGGGAGTTGCGATGACCATTGCCAAGGCCCAGGATGGAAAGGCATCTGTGCCCGCTAATGGTTACAGAACGAGTGAGTGTCGCAATTCTCCATCAATAATAATAACCCAATAACTGACTAGGGAATGGAAGCGGAAATCTAACATGCAGGGTGAGTCCATTTCGCTGGAGAATAAAAGTGATGGACCAACTGCTGGGGTAGACCGGTGCATCGAAAATCCTCCGTGTGACTATAATCATCCCAACTGCAGTTTGCCTAAGTGGAATTCGAGGTGGAAGGCGACAAACATACCTGGTGTTCAACGGCGGGGGTGTGCAAGCATCACATGCAGCCCATACGAGATACGAGACACCAGAGCAAACACACTGCTCCCTGGTCGAGCCTTTGAGCAAGAATGAGAATATATGTTGAAGGGTGTTGTAAAGGGGAACGCACCACGACAAACGTCGTCTGGATCCCAGTCGCATGGACCAAAACCTTCGTCGTTGTCGAACTATAAGGTGGGCCTAGCATGGACGTTTAAACTTCCAAAGTAACGAACGATTACTCACCAGTGAGCAATGGTCATCCCGAGAGACGCCTGCGTCTCTGTGGAGAGGAAGCTGGGTTGAATTCACTCCAGTTGCGTTGTGTCGCGCTACCAGTGAGTAGTGTAACCACGCCATAACCGGGAAGAAGTACGCCGTAAAGACAGCTTGAAGCTGGGAACTTATTGCCTGCTAATGGGGAGAGGCGAGCTTAATGTCAATCCAGCGCCAGTACCAGGAAAGCTGCAAAGCGGACGGAACCAAAGGGAAAGATGGGGCGAGTGAGAGAGGGGGAGGAATGAACGGGTGGAGCGCATTAGTCCCCCAAAGACCTATAACAGCGGAAGAAGCCAGTAGCCTGAGAGTTTCGGCGCCCATATCCGTGTTCTGACAGTTGGCTCTCTAGGAGGCGGTATGAAATCAAGCAAAGTACATGATATATCAGCATCGAAGCGCTCTGTGGAAAGAATTACGGAGACCAACAGGATTTGTTGCCGAGAGAGTGAATGAACTGTATCCACGAATCACAGACCAGAATCGGGGTACATAGGAAGAATAGAATGAACCTCATTTTGGCGGTAGTGGACTCAGGTCGGATTACGCCTTGGCATCGCAACACGATCATCATGGAATAAGGCGGCGGAGGCGTGAGCAGAGTTGGTTTCCCTGACGAGTATAGTTGTACTGGACAAGGTTAGGAGGCCGGTCGTTAGTCGGCTGGCAGGCTGGAGGAATTGGTTGGTGCCGGCGAGAATAACGGACCGTCGGGTGCGTAGGGACAGCCGCACGCATCTTACCGTTCAGGCGGTCTTGACCAAGAACAGTAAGTCGACGATACTTTTTGAGTTCGGCCTCGATGAAGCTGTCAGCCTGGGGCGAGTACGGCCCGGATGAACGCTCCAAGAAGCCAGCTGCATGGGAGTTAATGCAGAGTGCCAGCCATAGGTTTTGGCAATCCAGCACAAGGTCGACATGAGAGCTCGAATGAAGGCAGGGTGACCGTCACGGTGTCCATCAGCTTCGGAAGCCATTGTCATTGACCCGCCAAATATTCATTAATTATCTCACTATGGCTCAGACTTGGACTCGTTACACTTTTCATGAACGACTTCAAGTTCTCGGTTGACACAAGTAGCCAAATTCAAACGAAACCTTCGACGGAAAGCCCATCCAAATATGGTCCCCGCCTTACTCCTTACTCAGGTGCGCAGTAGCAGACACTGGTGGTGAAACGGTATCATGCTTGCCTTCCATGTTGCAATTTGAAAGCTTAAGCAAGCGGCAGGGGTTCGACTCCCTTTCAGTGTATTCTTTTGCTTTTTGGGAAGCTCAAACCAATTAGTCACTCCTGGTTTCCAAAGACGTCCAACACGCCTTCGATCGAGCAGGCGTCCAGGATGGACCTCCACGTTCAGCCGGTGCTTGTGTTTCGACAGAATTTCTGACCATATCGTACTGAAAGACCGCCGCGGTTTTGTAACTCTTGCGACAATCGCATTTAGATTGTCCTCAGTTTAACATTGCACCTACCACGGCCGGTGCGTGGAGAGCTGATGATCAACTACGACGATTGACAGTAAATTGATGCAGAGTTGCAAGCGTGTTCAACTAAACTGTAAGCGTACATCGAGCAAAGCAACTTTTGAATATTTGAATATCCACCGGTGCAGACGACGCATTCAGCGATCAATCTCAGCGTCAACAAACAGAAACGCCCAACCACGCATCTTTCATCCGCTCCGCATCTCCTTCATCTGCTTCTGAGAACTGCACGCACGGACGCCCACTGTCGCGCTTCCCCGCCTCTTCTGTAAGCATCACTAACACGGCTCGCATCTGCACGTCGCGCAGCTCCGCGACCTTGTTCGAATTCGACTTCGCGTGGGGAACAGGCTTCTGCGCCTCCAACACGACGGACTCGATGTTTGGGGGAAAGAAACAGCCGGTGTCCGGGCCATCCACGTCCGCGCCTATGGCCAGCGCGTCACGCAGCTCGCGTGCAAAGGCGGGGGCGCCACGCAGACTCGAGACGCGCAGGTGTGTGAGCAATGGACATGCGCGCGCAAGAGAGGCGGGCACCCCTGCGGGGTTGTAGTTGCCCGAAAGGTACAGATGGGTGAGCGCTGGGAAGGCGCCGGGGCGCGGGAGGGGGTAGAAGCCTCGGACGGCAAGCGTCCTGAGACGCGGGAGTCGCGTGCGAAAGACGGCTCCCAGGAGAGAGCTCGAGCAGGCGGAGGAGGGGAGAATGACGGCCAAGTCGCGGACGGTCGGCGCGGCGAAATGGAGGAGACGCAGAGCTGATGCGGGTGCAAGGCTAAGAGCGGGCCCGATGAAGAGCCGATGGATAGGGTGTTTGGGGGTGGGAGGGGCTTCGAGAAACTCGAGAATCTTATTGGCCTGGTCCTGGGACGAAACAGCAACAGTGTAGAGCAAGAATGGCGCCGAAATCTCGTGGAAATAGGTGCAAGTAAGCGCCATCGCCCGAGTAGTGTGGCCACCGAACGGCGAGACGCATGCTAGCTCAACGATGAGCGAGTGAAGCTCTGGCGGAAGGGAGTTCATGACAGTGTAAGTCCAGGAAGACAAAGTGGCCGACAAAAGACGCGTCCTATTGCGTGTCGATTGCGACATAACGCGACATGGACGCGGTCACGTGGACAACATTGCAACCAAGACGTCAACGCGATTTTTTTTTCTGGGAAAAACGGGGGGTGAAGTATAACAGAGAGTGAGTGGTACGAGACATAAGATCGACGCTGCTATGGTGTGATACGTGGCAGAGTGTGGCGGGACAGAGCTGTACTCGATTTGGGAAGCATTGCTGCGTGATGCATGAACACGAGTTCAAATAATTATGGGCCGCAACTTCGGTGCATGCAGCTGGACTCATCGACAGACCACTCATAATGTCTGCCGTGTAGGTCGGAAGCTCATCGCCACCCGCAACGGCCGAGCTCGGTATTGCTGGACTCTATGTCGGTATCTAATATATTTCGGCAAGTATGCGGAGATGGCGATCTTTATGGCAGACAATGCTTCGTAAGACAGATGGAAGACCTATAGCTGGCTGTCAAATTAGCCCGAGTATTGCAACAAGAACTGCGGTTTGGCAGTTTTGGGCTAGAATGCGGAGCGTTGGTTGTTAACTCGTATGGTGAGTGCCTCCGTATAAATTCGTGTGTGCTCTTCTGCGCTCGTCTTGGCAGAGGATCGGGTCCCCGAAGACGGAATTCAGTACTCCGGACTCCGAAGGTTGGTTGGCGCCAACGATGCCGGGCGCGCCGTTATTGCGGGGCAGGCCGTGGTCGCCGTTCAGCTTATTATTACTGCCGTTTATTTTTACTGTTCAACTGTTCGACTGTTCGATGTTTGAGGGCACCAATGGTGTAAAGGAACAGTATAAAAAGGCTAGTCAACCTGCCTTCACTTTCAACGACCCAACCCACTCAAACGTCTACCACCCTCTCCTCTCAAAGATGCCCGGTTTGCCTTCTCAATATTTCGGCCATTACGTTGCGTTAATCTTCATTCAGGTAACAGCAATCCACCCGAGTTCGTGCGGATCGACAAAGACGACTGCATGTTGTTGGTAGTCGATCACCAGATTGGCTTGTTCCAGCTCGTCCGCGATTTCGGGCCCGATGAATACAGGAACAACATCCTAGCCCACGCCGCCTTGGGCAAAGTGTTTAATCTGCCCACCATTCTCACAACCAGTGCTGAGACCGGTTCGATTTCCTTTATAACTGTCACGCAATGCGACACTAACCATAGCTTAGGTCCCAACGGCCCTCTCCCCAAGGAAATTCTCGCGATGCATCCGGATGCGCCGTACATTAAGCGCCAAGGCACGATTCATCATTTGCACTGAGTCCCAATATTAATTCGGAGCCTATTATAGGAGAAGTAGACGCCTGGGACAACCCCGACTTCCAGTGGGTTCTTCTGCCTCTACCTACAGTGGTGGCCAAAAAGAATGAACGTGCTCGTTTGAGGTCATCTGTGCATCAAATCACTTCAAACAAAATTCGAAGATGATGAGCGGAGAGTTAGAAGATCGTATGCACAGTCTAAGTGATACCATACCTATCTTGTTGGTCCAGAATAAAATGAATTGTGTGATTTTGGAAAATCGAGATCATGGATTTTGATGGCAGTCAAAAACAGTCATCATAGGCGGAAAGTACTTGAAAAACGAAGTGCAGTGACATTTTATTTGATATAGATTGAGTGGTGGGTTGGCGCACACGAGCCCTCTCAAGTTGGCAAGTTTGATCAAAAATTGACCAAAACAGCCCAAAAATGATCAAAATGGCCAACTTGCAGCGCATATTGCGAGCCAACCTACCATTCAATCTGCTTCGAATAAAATGTGGGTAGACTTCATTTTTCAAGTACTTTCATGCTAGGCTAACCATTTTTTTATATCTGATGTGTGTGAAAAGTCGATTTTTCCCAAAATGACAATTTATTTTACTGGGGAACATCAAGGCAGACATAGTATGGTTCAAACAGTACGAAACATCTTAGAATCACTCATACATTACACCAGTATTTTATTTGAAGTGATTTGATGCCCAGATGACCTCAAACGAGCACGTTCATTCTTTTTGGCCACCACTGTACATGCGCGACACCGAAGCTCACACAGTCCCACAGAGCGGCTGTGAAGGCAACCGGAAAAAAGCAGGTCATCATGGCGGGAATTACCACGGACGTCTGTACCGCGTTCCTCGCGTTGTCCCTCGTCCAGGAAGGCTACACCGTGTTCGCCAATGCTGATGCGTCCGGGACATTCTCCGCCACGGTTGGTTCTGATGTAACACTCACCGTATCACGGCGCTCACGAAACTGAGCAGGTGGCTGCTAACGCCAATGCGCGCATGAGAGCTGCAGGCGTTCACGTAGTTTCACAATTCGCAGTGGGTTGCGATCTTATGAGAGATTGGAGGAACACGCCAGGTAAATTAAACTGTTCGGTCGCTCGTTCGTAAAATCACCATATTGATGCATATGCATCCTCCCACAGGCTCGTTGCAGATGCTGCCGTACTACGACACGTACGTCCTCGTCTGTATCTACTGGTGCAGTGCGCTCATGAGCATCGGGTTTGCAGCTATCTCACTCAGTACGGATTTGTTGCTCGCGCCCACGCCGCTGCAATTGAGGACGGAACCATTCTTCCCGGAGAAAGTGTTTGACGGAGAGAACTGTTGCGGGCTCACTGAAATATCACCGTCACCTTGTCTTCCGTATTGGCTTTTTTGTTTGCCTCCACATAGATAATTATATTTACCCCGGGGGCCTAGATGAATTCAACATTCATTTACATAACATTTCTGTGTTGAAAACAACCGAAAGCTCAAGTCCTCATGAGCATTGTTTTTGCAGCTGGTATCTCACTCGATACGGATTTGTTGCTCGCGCTCATGCCACTGCAATTGATTTGATCCAGCATCTGTGCTATACCGAATCGCTTCCTTCTCTCCTCAGAGGCTCAAACTATTCGAAGTATTGACGCGACGGCCGAAACCGCAACGGCCGTAACTCTCGCTGTATGTCACTCTTAGTAGTGCCGAAATCATGGAAATGTCTGGCCACGGCTTCACCTTGTCTGAGTCGGCTTCCAACTCCAAGTCTCGCGTCATACTAAAATCATCATGCGTCTCACAGCCCCGGTAGCCGAGGGAATATTTCGTGGAGAGGGCATTCTCTGAATCGATTTCAGAACTGCACTAATGAGAAACGAAGTAGGATTCAAGTCGATTGTGGGACTCACGCGAAAAGGCGCTTCAGCTGACACTGACATTCCTCGCCAGTTATACCTGGCCGGTGGCGCTCGATCATCCCCAGTGAACAGCAAGTGCATGATAATATGTAGCGATCCACGGTATCCATTCGTTCGCCAGAATATTTGCGTCGACAACGGTGGCCGCGGACCATTCGCTGATGCGGCTGAGAGCGTAAATCGCGTGGTATCGCACCACTGGAGAGGATTGGCTTGGAATAGGATGAGCGTCTGAGGCCTGGGATATACATGTACGCACTCGAGGAGAGAAACCAGCTTGATGCAGGGCTTTAGTTGGATGACCGCGTTGATTAGATCTGGGTCTTTGTATCGCAGCAAGCGGCCGAGCATACGACAGGTCCAGCCCACGACAGAGGAATCTGTATCGTCCAAAAGGCTCGTGATATGATCGAGGAGGCCTGCAGCGACTGCCTCCTTCGCTGAGAGAACTGCAGGAATTGACATAAAGACAGAACTACATATTGTTGAACCACTTCATCCCTGGAACTGCACAATCCAA